ACTATACAGTCTTAGTAGAACAGCATGCATTTCCTTATATTTTCTTGAGAATATAAATTTTTAGGAGAAAAAAATATTTGCTAAAGAATTTTTTTTGCTAATATATACAAATATTCTAACAAAAACAGCTTTACTAATTGTATAAAAATACTAGAAAATTTTTACAAAATATTTAAATACTCTACACTAAAAAAAAAAAAAAATTAAATAAACTCATAACTTATAATAAGCTTTCCTGCGAACCTTTTTTATCTATAATATCGGCATTAACAGAACCGTAATGACTAGAAACGGAACTTTCCTCATGTTCAGCGCTTTCATCAATAGCTTCAAACCGAACCTAAAATATAAAAAATATCAGGTGTTTTTTTTTTTAAAAAAAAACGTCATAATCATTATATATATAAAAATGTTGATCATTGTTATCACGATCGTGATCAAGAAAAGAGATAATATTGCATATCATTCACTTTCATGGCAAACTTTTCATTTGGCAAGTTTTTAATTTTAACTTATACTATTAATTACAACAACACTTGTAATTAATAGTATAAGTAAAAATTAAAAACTGCTGTTTTATATTTTAAATCCGTTAAAAATAAAATTCTTTTGGACATTTATTTAGTATCTTTCTACTTCAATAACATAAATTAGCAGTTTCTTCTATTATGAAAATAACATAAATTACCAGTTTCTTTTATTATGAAAATTACATTTAGATAAAAATAACAGCAATGGGTAAAAATTAAGAATGGGATAAAAACGTAAAAAAAATAAAAAAATACAGGAAAAAATTTAGCGGTAATATACATCTCTCAATACTTTATTAAGTATTTTATGAAGCAAATTCAAAAATATAAACAATACATCAAAAATAGAACACAACATATGTAAAACTATTACCCTATCAGCTATTTTGATTGGAGTCGCTCCACTGTCACTTTCGTCTTCAGTTTTACTTTCATCAACTTCACGTAAAATTTTTCGCACAGGACGTACTATATTTTGTCGTGTCCGTTTAACAATCAATGGACTATGTTCATCAATTTCTGCAGATGATGTCAAAAACTGATGCGCTGTTCGCTCTTCATTTTCAGACCACCTGTCAATCATATGAGTCACCGCTGCAGTATATTCCTATCAAAATTATTTAAACAAACAATAAGAATTGATTTGAAAAAAAAACAAACATTGGACAGCGATTTCGAAAAAAACAACAAAAGTTGTTTCAAAGTTTTTCTTTTTTTATACCGATATATTTAGCAGTTATTGTAGCAGCTTATGTTTAATGAGATTCAAATTTTGTTAAAGCTTAATATTTATTTCTGTTATTATAGCTAAATAGGGGAAAGGCGCCTATGATGGCATACTTAACTAAGAAGCTTCATTATTCAGTATCCTGAAGACCAAAAACAAAAGTTTTTGGTCTTCAGGTTTGATACGGATACATTCTTTGCTACATGTAGAACAATAATAACTCTAGGAGTTTTCATTAGTTTTATTTTTTATTAGTTATTTTTATTAAAAAAAAAAGCTCAAGTATGCCATCATAGGCAACTACTGATCCTATGATGGCATAGGGGAGGATGGGGCTGGTTAGCATCAAGGGTTACTTGACAATTTTGTTTAACCTTAAAGTCTACCCTCATAAATGCCAGAAATTATGTGTAATCATCCTAATTAACTTTTTCGTACTACACAGCAGCATTGTAGAATTTCGCGCATGCACGTAAGAGATATTGCGTTTTACGTATTTTTTTAACAAAAAAATTTTTTAGTAAAGTAAAAATTCCTTTTTACTTCACTAACAATTATATTGTTTTTATCAAAAATAAAGGTTTTCTCAACTCGTCAATATTGCGACACACCTAACTCGTCATTATGCCATCATAGGAAGAAGTCATGATTTTCATTTAAACAAGCTGTGTCTGCCTTGTTCAAAAGATAAAATTAAAATAAGTATTCCACTAAATGCACAAAACTTGAAAATAAAATGCATGAAAATAAATTTCATTTCGGCACAGTTAATAATAAAATCACAACCTTAAATATTTAAAGGGATTAAAAATACAACAGCACATCCCAAAATCAATTTTTGTTGATTATAAAAGCAACATTTGTGCGTAAGGGACGTGTTTTTACTAAAACTAATGTTAAGTCAGTATAGACATGTTGGTTTAATCACTTTTTTGCCATAACCAATATTTATGAAAATAGGCATGAGGTATCAAATTTAAATTCTAATATTAATTCTTTTAACATGTTAACTATTATTAGAGACTTTTTTTTTATTACAAAAAAAAAGCCTAGAAATATGACATAAATATAGTTGAAAAACTTAGTTTTTAGACCTTTTCAGACTTAAAGAAAAAAAATTGTACAATTATCTAACTTAACAAGTGTCTCAGTTGCACAAAAACCTATCGAAATGCATAGAGATTAAAAGCTTTAAGTCTTTTGTGATAAAAATAAAACTGCTTTAAGCACTAATAGAAAAATGAAAAAAAAAAAAAAAAAGAAAAAATCAATTTATTTATTGAAACTTTTGTGCAATTCTTGAAAATTGTCAATACTAATGGACTGATACACTAATACAAAATATAAAAGAACAGATAAAGCAGTAATATCAACTTTGGAAGCATCATTTTTACTTGGCATTTTAATTACTTAGGTCGTTAGAGAAGTTCGTAGAACTTTATCTATAAAGTTACAATAAGACAGGAAATAATTAAATATTTCATAAATTTTTATAAACATTATCTTGAACTGTGTTTAATTATGAGCGTTTTAAGTATTTGTTTAAATATTTTGAATGTTTATTAAAAAGTTATTTAAATTTTATTATATAAGTTTGAAAGAAAAAATTTAAAAATGGAAAAACTTGAATATCGAGCATATATTGAAACTCGTGCTCTATTTGGAGTTTCCGCACTAGCCATAACCAATGAATTGGTTTTAGTTCATGGTGACAAAGCTCTAAAATATAGTGCAGTTGTCAAATGGGCTACTTTATTTAAAGATGGTAGAGAGAGTCTTGAAGATAATTCTCGCTGAGGGTACTTTCAAACCACGTATACAGCTGAGAATATTGAATATTTGCAAGCCATTATTGATGAAAACCTGCATGCAACACATGATATAATTGAAGCCCTGACATCGATTGATCGTTTATTCATGTTATTTATTTATTCATTTTGATCGTTAATTCATGGGGTATCCAACATCACGTTGGATACCCCATGAATTAACCGATCAAAATCGAAACAATAGAGTTAAAGCATGTAAAGAAATTTTAGTCTTTTTTAGAAACGGCCCATGGAGGCTATGTGATATTGTTACAGGGGATGAGTCGTGGTTTTATTTGAGACAAGTTGGACACAAGTCAACTAACGCTAGTTGGGTTAATGAAGGTGAAAGTCCATAAACTATAGTAAGATGCGATAGGTTTTAGCCGAAAAGCATGTTCTGCATCTTCTTTAAAACAACAGATGTTGTTCATTTGGGTTATGTTGAAAAGAGAGACACCATTACTAGCAAATATTATATAAAAAATTGTTCGAAACCTCTTATACGCGAAATAAATAAGCAAAGACCAAAAACAGGCACTCACAATTTCAAATTTTTCTATGATTAAGCTCGACCCGCTTATCCAATTACGCTTCATCTGATTATTGACTATTCGATTTGATAAAAAAAAAAAATCTTGATGACGATACTGACGTTGAAAGCCAAAAAACCTGCATAATGAAGCTACTTGAAAGTATACCCAAAGAAGAGTATAAAAAAATGTTTCACAAATGGCTTGAAAGGATGTAACTTTGTATAGATAATGATGGACATTATTTTGAACATTTAATAAAATTAAAATAAAAAAAACTCATTTATTTTTTTTTTTTATAGGGGAGTTCTACAAACTTTCCTAACGACCTAAGTAGTTATGGAATAATAAGAAAATAAATCAATACTACATATGAATTTTTTTATTTAAACAAATTTAAGAAAAGAGTTAAAAAGATGTTTGTTCTTTTGAGTTTTGTTTTGTGAAAAAACTAATTTCAAATATTAATAAAACAAATAACTGCTCAAGCAAGAGAAAACCAAATGACAACTTAAAACCAACAAAAAAGAAGAAAAATCATTTCTAACTAAATTCAGGAGATCAATTAAGGAGAAACAATTTTTAGCAAAGTGATGAAGACATCAGGCTAAGAAACATCACAAAGAAAATCATAAATAAAAAAAACCCGGTCAGCTGTAAGGAAGTAAAAAAAAAAAGAAAGGTAAATAATGTGCAAGAAGTATGAGTTTTATATTTATTTATCAAATTAATTTTTAAAACCATGAACTGAGCACAAGCTATGACTAAAAAAGTCACAAATAACAACAGTATGGGCAGTTAGATGTTAACAAAAGGTTAATTGGATTAAATAGAATTAATTTAAATAAGTAATTAAAAGATTAAATAAAGATTAATTTGATTAGAAATATAATAAAAAAGTTTTTTGTCTCAAGGAAAAAAAATTGATTTTAAAGTGGTATCTTTATTAATTAAATTAATTTTTAAAACCATTAACCGAGAACAAGCTAGGACTTTAAGATGACACAAATGAAGTAGCGTGATTTGGGTTGTCTGGAAAATGATTCAAATAGTTAATCCTTGCTGATACCTCAATCAAGCCACAAATTAGTCACCAATATCAACAGCTGTTAGATATGAAAAAAGGGATTGATTAATTTGATTAGAAATAGCATCGAAAAAAGTTTTTTGTCTAAGGAAAAAAAAAGTTGATTGCGTGAAATAAAGTGGTATGACAAAAACAGATAACATAATAGTCACATGATTCTGAATTCACAACAAACAGTAAACTGATATGAAAGTTTATGCCCAGGCCAAGCATGCAACTATTGGTCAAGCAGGCCAAACATACAATTATTGGAGTTTTTGTGAATCAAAGAATACTAGTCATTAAGACTGAAATGTCTCACAAATAGTTGGTTGAATCTCTCAAACAAATGTCTCACAAATAGTTGGTTGAATCTCTCAAACAAATGTCTCACAAATAGTTGGTTGAATCTCTCAAACAAATGTCTCACAAATAGTAGGTTGAATCTCTCAAACAAATGTCTCACAAATATTTGGTTGAATCTCTCAAACAAATGTCTCACAAATAGTGGGTTGAATCTCTCAAACAAATGTCTCACAAATAGTAGGTTAAATCTCTCAAACAAATGTCTCACAAATAGTAGGTTGAATCTCTCAAAAAAATGTCTCACAAATAGTAGGTTGAATCTCTCAAACAAATGTCTCACAAATAGTAGGTTGAATCTCTCAAACAAATGTCTCACAAAGAGTAGGTTGAATCTCTCAAACAAATGTCTCACAAATAGTAGGTTGGTTGAATCTCTCAAAAATATGTCTCACAAAGAGTAAGTAGGTTGAATCTTTCAAACAAATGTCTCACAAATAGTAGGTTGGTTGAATCTCTCAAAAATATGTCTCACAAAGAGTAAGTAGGTTGAATCTTTCAAACAAATGTCTCACAAAGAGTAAGAAGTTTGGGTGAATTTTCCAAGATGTAAGATTCTGCATATAGAAAGATACTTTGAAGAATACAAGTATTTGTAAAGAATAGATTGAAACAATTTGGTGGCAATGATGGGTTTTTTATATTTAATATTTTAGGAATTCTAGTCATAATCTATATTATTATATAGACTCAAATGTAGAAAGTAATTGTTAACCTTAGTAATAAACTATGCAACTGTCTCATTCCTGCCTATCAAGCTAAAGTTGTAAAAAAAGGCTGCTAAAGAGGCCTCAACAATGCACAACAAAAGCACTTTCAGGGACACCATCCATGTGCAAAATGGCATTGTAACTCTTTAATATTTTATAACTGATAAAAAAATCAGCTGTAATCATAATTTCTATAGATTCAAAAAGATCCAATCTTCATCAAACTCGACAGAAAACACTGCAATAGGTTATGATTGACGCTAGCCTATAACAAAAATACAACCCTAGTCTATTACATCTGGTTAACATTAACGTATTACAACAGGTATTGCAACATATTAACAGTTAACATCAATGCCAGTCTATTTTGAAAAAGGGGTGGGAGACAGAAACAGAAACAGAAACTTCATGCTTAACCATAATGTTTTAATTTTAATGATACAAAAACGAACAAAACATAATATAAAAAAAATAAAATAAATAAATAAAAAAATTAGACCTTTGAACATTTTTTTAAAAACAAAATTAATCATTATTTTTGAATTTAGTTGTTATTGACAACCCCAAGCCTCCCTGAGTTGTTTACAAAATCTATTAGAGCAGATAACAATGGCTGTAACTTATTATTAGTACAAATAACTAGGGCTATAACCATTATTAAAAAAGCAGAATTAATAATCAATATTTATCATATTCAAAACTGTTTGCAAATCAAAATACCTGTGAATCATTTTTTCTGATGAAAAATGGCATCAAATACTTCTTATCGAATCGACGCCATCCTCGAATTATACTCATAGGAGATTTTCCGAATCGTGCTTTATATTTAATTGTTTGACTTGAGGCTTCAGAGGGGCCTACAATTCGCCCTAATTTCAACGATTTGCTGAATCCTGATTTAAAATGTTTCCTTTGAACTTTCAAAAACTATAAATTTAATTTGTATTGATTATTAAAATTTATCTTTTAACTAAAAACTTTAAATGTAACAAAAAAATAATAAAAATAAAAAGAACAAAATGTAAATAAAATTTTAAATCAAATTAAATGTTAAAACACAAAGGATTAAAAACTTAATTCAAATAAAATTTTAAAGAAAATCAACCTTAACCAAAGGTAAAGTAGAGATACCGAGAACCACATTTGTGATTACAACAATAATGAGCGTAGTAGTTATTATTAGCTTTTGAGCTTCAGTGTTCGCCAGCGGAAGATGAAGACTCTGAGCAAATGCAACAGCTCCTCTTAAACCTTTTAAGTATTATAAAAAATATTAAATTTTTAATAAATTTTCTGAAATTTAAAACAAAAATTATTTAAAAATCATTTAGGCAACACTTACCACTAAACCAAATAAGAAACAATACTTTCAAAGATATTCTGTTTTCTTTAGGTCGACAGTAAATAAAGAAAAGTGACAAAGGAAAAACCACAACAGCTCTCGAAAGTAGACAAGTAAACTGTGATAAAAATAATTATTGATAATGTATTACAATATTATGTTTTTGAATGCATCTTTACAATTTAATTGAAACATCCATATAGTAAACATAGTAACACATTTTCAAATATCAGTAAACCTTTTTTACTTACTTTATACTTAATCAAAACAATAGTCAATATAAAATAATAATCTACATCCAATACCCATGATATTTATTTTTACTTTATATTTATTTTTAAAATTTTGAATTATATTAAATATATTTATTAGAGTTGTGCTAAATTATAGGTATCCAATACCAGAAGTATTACCATTTTCAATACCAGAAATATTACCATTTTTTGTATCAGTATCAGTAAAAAAACAGACAATGCTTCACCAAACCCATCAAATTAGAATGCAAATATATATTTTTTTCAAATTTGATTCTGTTTTTGCGACAACAAAACATTGGTCTGAGAAATCTATGGCCTAGATTTCTGGTCTGAGAAATCAATGGTCTAAATTTCTCAGACAATGGTTCTTAAAGAATAGTATGGTTATGTAGTTATCTTTTAAATTCAAAATGTTTTAATAATTTTACCATAAATCTTTATAAAAAAAGTTTTCAGTTATCAACTTTTTCAGTTATCAACTTTTTCAGTTATCAACTTTCAGTTATAAACTTTACAACTTTTTAAAATTATTTTTCTATTAAATTAAACATGTATATATTTCTATAATAACATGTATATGTTTCTTTAGTAAAGTAAAAATGCAAGAAGAAAAAAAATCATTGTCACATCTTTTTTACATTATATCTATAATTATAAATAGTCTAAATGAACATAAACAAATCTAACATTTAGTAAAAAACAAATACTATCAATAATTGTCAAATGAACTTCTTCGCTAACAAGAAGAATTGCACACATAAAAATTTCCAAAAAATTTTCTTTTCAGCCAAAGATTATATTTCCTATCTTTAATAAATCAAACAGCACAGTGAGCTTAGAAGGGTCACCTCCTTTCCCAATTATAAGATGATACAATGAAATTAACATAATTGCCAGTTTTTACTACTTAATGTTTTTGTTTTCCTAATCATAATTTAAGCAGTTTATTTTCATTTTTAAATTATCTTAAACTAATAGTTGAATACTTTTATGATTAGTATCAAATGAAACATTAAAAATCTTTTCACTGTCGAAATCTTTTTGACCACCTTTGTTTTGACCATCATTTTCTTAAAAAAACTACAAAACAACTTAACATAATTTCCTTAATTCCATAATTTTTGAAATTATCTGGTTCATAAACCTTTTAAATGCTTTCAGAGAGTATTGATTATAATTTTCTAAATATGAATCCAAATTTTCAAAAAAAACATTTGCATGGCTTAGAATTTCTTCAAGATAATCTTGTACTAGTCTAGTACTGATTGTATTTCGCTAAGAAGTTTTATTGGAAATTTGCATCCATCACACTTTATTGGTATGATTCCAAAAAAAACTTATCGCTCCATATTTATTGTCATGTGAATATTTCATTTTTAAGAGTAGCATTACTTCTATTAACAGAGCCTTGCAATAGAAAGCAAAAGAATGCCTAAGCCTTTAATTAACCAAAACTAAACTAGGTCAGAATGTAAGGACTAAACCAGGTCAGAGTGTAGGGAGCACTTGTAAAACTCCAATTATAAAAAAACAAGATATTTTATAAAAATATTAGTCAAAAAATTTCTTTCATTTTCTAAACTAATAAAGCAATAAACGTTTTTGCAATTTCATAGATTTAAATTTTTATTACTTTGATTTTTTTTCAAAACTCATAATCACAAAAAGCAACACACAATTTCACTTGATGGTAATACAAAACGTTATAGTTAACATTATACCACAATGTTTTAAACTTTCCACAGTCAATGACTTCTGATAAGTTATTATTATTAACTAATAATAATCATAAAAACCATAAAATGTTAAGTAACACATTTTTAATATAAATTTTAATTATTGTATAAATTTTAAAATGATAAAATAAATTAGGTAGTTTAATATTAATTTAAAAACAAAATTAATTTAATAAGAAACTATGCATTAAGAAAAAAAAATATTTAAAGACAAATGCCCTTAACAATGTCACTTTTATTTTAAGATAGTTACAAATTATTGTCAAAACATGAAGTGTAATTTAATTTTTTAAAACACAATACCCTACCAAAAATGAAATAGAAACCCTTATGACACATAGTAGAATACTATGCAACTACTACTCTAACCATTATTAAATAGCAGATTGACCATTTTTAGCAGATTAACCATTATTAAATTGCAGATTGACCATTTTTAGCAGGTTAATCATTATTAAATAGCAGATTGACAATTTTTAGCAGATTAACCATTATTAAATTGCAGATTGACCTTTTTTAGCAGATTAACCATTATTAAATTGCAGATTGACCATTTTTAGCAGATTAATCATTATTAAATAGCAGATTGACAATTTTTAGCAGATTAACCATTATTAAATTGCAGATTGACCATTATTAAATTGCAGATTGACCATTTTTAGCAGATTAACCATTTTTAGCAAATTAACCATTATTAAATTGCAGATTGACCATTTTTAACAGATTAACCATTATTAAATTGCAGATTGACCATTTTTAGCAGATTAACCATTTTCAACAGATTAACCATTATTAAATTGCAGATTGACCATTTTTAACAGATTAACCATTATTAAATTGCAAAATGCATCAAATTGCAGAATAAGCAAACATTTTAAAATGTTTTTAACTGCCTACAAATTAATAATTTGTTATGTTTTAGTTTGTTAGATTCCATATAAGATTACATTTACCAAGTTTTATTAATTAAGAAGTGAGTTTAGCAAGTAAATAAATAAAATACTTTTTTGATTGATAAAATGATTCAAAATTTTAATATTTCTAAATTTCTATTACTTGATTATTTTTGAATTCAAAACTTGATAACAAACAATAACTTTATTTATGTTTTCATTCTACTTCTAGGTTGGCAACCAACTTTTTATTACTTATAATGTTTATTATTAAGTTTTAAACTTAACAACTAAATTATGATTACTTTGAGTATCTGCTTACTTAAATGCTAAAAAACACTTTAAAATTATTCTAAAATAATTTTATAACTTATTTACAGTTACAACAAATAATCAAATTTACTGTTCATATGATTTTTTATATCTATGATTAATACTATTTCTGCTGTCTAAGATATAATTTTTAACAAAATAAAATTTTGAAAAAAATTTTTTACAGAATTAAGATTAAAAAAAAGAACAAACAATCTGCTATAGCGTATTTTTATAAGCCTTTGTACTAGTTTTGCCTATCTTTATAGACAAAATACATTGAAGAATATTTTTACCACATTTATTGGCAAATAAGTAAAGTTTTTTGAAAAAAATTAAAGATCTCAGATGGAAAAATTGAGTCTCATACATTTTTGAACCACCTATCATTTTTAAACCAAGTACAACTTTTAAACCCTAAACCTAGTAGTTTAAAACTGTTTGTAAACTTTGTATGCAATAATAAAGTTTATTGAATAATTTGAAAAGCAATCAAAACATGCTTTTAAAACTATTCAATTGGTTAACTGTTTAAAATTAACTGTTCTAAACAGTATTAAACTTGAAGAGCTTTTCTCCAGCACAAAAGCTGCAGTAGGTTTTAACACAAAAAAAGTCTGCTCATACCCTTTGTAGATAAACATTCTTCATAGCTGTGGATAGGTCCTTCATTTGTTACAGCTTTTTCAGGAAAAAAAAGAATAATGAAAGAAAAAATCCCAGCCTTATGCCAAACTTGCAGTCGATAAAGTGAAACTCCTTTGTCATAGCAGGGTATAAGATAGTTAATGCAAAGGCTTCACCTTTGGCAGCAGACAATTTCAACGTGCTTATCTAAACACGCATCTTCAGTTGTGTGTGTGTGTATATATATATAAATATATATATATATATATATATATATAAACACCCATTTAAAACTGTGTGTGTATATATATATATATATATATATATATATATATATATATATATATATATATATATATATATATATATATATATATATATATATATATGAATGCGTGTGTAGACAACATTTTTGACATTAAATTGAAACAGCCTGCTGTCTGGGGCTTTAGTACATACATTGATTATCTTATAGCCTTTTGCTGCAAAGGAATGGTGCTACATCAACTGAGGGTTTGAAATGAATCTTTTCATTCATTATTCTTTAATTCTTTTTTTTTTCTGGAAATGCTAGAGGCTATTAAGGTAAGAAAATCTAATTTATTTTTCAACTTGTTATCTATATACACTATAGTATATATATATATATATATATATATATATATATATATATATATATATATATATATATATATATATATATATATATATATATATATATATATATATATATATATATATATATATATATATATATATATATATATATATATATATATATATATCTGCATAAATACATAATATACACCTATATACTAATAAACATATTCAATTAAACTTTTAAAAGGTACCAATGACCAGGAGATAAATCTTATATCAAATAAATGTGGTCCATTTAAGATAGCCATACCCAAGTACAGGAACACAATTGTTTCTAAAGATTACATACATATATATATATATATATATATATATATATATATATATATATATATATATATATATATATATATATATATATATATATTAGTGATGTACCGATTAATCGGCATCAGCTTTATCGGCCATTTTTTGCACAATCGAAATCAGTATCGGCCACTTTTACTGATTTTCCAACTGATGGCATTTAATATTTTTATCCTGCATTATTATAACAATTAAATAATAAATAAACTAAACTTTATACATTACTTAGAATTTTTTGGATAAATTTTTATTTTGACTTTGTTTACAGGCAAAAGCTTTAGAAATAACCAATTTAGACATTGCTATCTATATTTTTTTAATTCTTTTTTACTCCCATTAATACTGCAAGCAACCACTATCAAGTTGGGAATTGTTAGAAAAAAAGAGTAGAGTTATAGAGCAAGAAAATAGTTGACAAAAGACTTAAAAAGTTGAAGGTTGTATGAGTCAGGAAAACATGAAGATGGGACAGAGTTCCTAAGGGTTGAAGTGCTGGGAAATAAGCTAGACAATTAAATGTTTTTAAAGCATAAAGAGACAGATACAGTAAAATAATGAGACTTTAATAAATGACAAATAAAGCAGGAATGAGTTTTGGTTGATGGAACTAGAGATAAAAGCTCCTTTGAGCAGCAACCATTATAGTATTTAAAAAAAAGAGAAGGAGATTAAATTTTACGACAATGGGAAAGAGGTTCAAGAAGTTACTGGAAATAGAGAAGAGTGTTGACCTCGAAGATGACTTTATTAAGGCGGTTAGAAAAAAAAACAATTCGATAATCTCAAGAATTTCCCAGATACACCATATGAAACAAGCTTATGGAGAAGACCAACATGTCAAACTTTGTCGAAAGCCTCAGATATGTCTAGAACAATAGCCTCTAAGCCTCCATCTAACGCACGATAAAATCTTTCAGTCGCAGCAGTTAGCAAGTCAGCCGTAGAGCAAGAGGGTTGAAACATGTATTGGTTGTCTGACTGCAAGTTATTTGACTAAAGTCGGAATGTGAGAAATATGTTTATCAAAGATTCAAAGACCTTGCAAATGACATAAAGAAGACTTATTGGACAATATTTGGAGGGGTCAGTATGTTTACAAGAGTTTTTAAAAAATAGAACAACAGATGCCATTCCAGCAAGCAGGAAAACAAGAATCAGTCAAGTACTTAATAAATAGTTTAGAGAAAATTGAGTCTTGAAGAACAATTTTGTGCAACTGTGACAGGAATTTTGTCTAGACCACAAGCCGTAGAAGAGTTTAATCAAGATTTGACTATGAGCAATGGAAGCTGAAGTAGTTTGAATGTCTAACAATGGGTTAACCTGTTTAATTAGAATGAAAGGAAGAGAAAGGCCATGAGATTTGAGAGTCAGATTGGAAGAGAATTTCTTTGCAAATAGTTCAGCCTTATTTCATTTATTTAAGCATAGCCAAGTATCAAGTATATTTCTATATTTTTAATTTTTCTATATCAATTCACTTCCATGAGACTACGAAGGCCACTTTAATTGAAGAGGCTTCTTTAGTTATGGCTACAACCCACTCTCAATTTCATAACTTGGAAACACAAACTTTGATTAACAAAGATTAAAATAATTGTTTGGCTTTGATTTACCAGTTTCGATTTAAAGTTGTATGGGTTTATATTTTCAAATTTTTAATAATTAGTTAATTCATTGGTATCGGCATCAGTATCGGTCTTTTCTCATCCATCAGCATCGGCCAAAAAAGTGATATTGGTACATCACTAATATATATATATATATATATATATATATATATATATATATATATATATATAATATATATATATATACATAAACATATTACACATATATATAAAATATAACATGTAATATTTATTTATATAACATATAACATGTAATATGTATATAAATAAAAAGAATTATAAATATAGTAGTATGCCAAAAACAAAATATAAATGAATTTTAAAAAGTACTGCAACAATTAATAATAAATAAAAGTAATAAATATTAAAAAATAAATTATAATAATAATAGTAATGTGTAATTTTGCATTTGCTTGTTTATGCGCCTGTTTCATATAGTTTGCTAACCTGTCACCAGTGCCATTAAACGAAAAATCTGCTGGACAGTTATTTGAGTAAGAGGAGATAAGTTAAAATGTGTGTAATGTGACATCGTGATTCCGCATAACAAAATTGACATAATACCTATGCAAAAAAATAACACACAAAAATAATTCAAGTGCAAGAAATAAATATACTGCTATTAAAATTTAATTTTATTTAATCATAATATAATCATCATCACCATTTAATGTTATTCTTTTTTTTTAATATTTTTGTTACTTTTTTTCCAAGTAAAAATAAAAAATAAATTGAGTAGCAGTGTGTATAAGATAATAATATAAGATAGCTTAAAATAGATCTTACACCAGGTTTAGGTACCAAATACAAATACATGATTTTGAAAAGATGGAATCAAAGTAGAGGGTAAAGTAATACAGGTGTTTTAGGAATATTAAATAATTTTCTGATATTTTAATAAGATTACCAGATAACTCAACAGCTTCGCAAAACCCATATGGCATGAAAGCAAAGATGATCATGGTCAGACATTCTAATGAAGGATGATTGTTCATGCGAATATGCTTCAACAACTAAGACAAAACAACAATAAAGTTTATATTAGTAAAATAAGGTGTAAATAATATAATTAGAAAAAATATATAAAAACATACTCAAATTAGCAATAAAAGTCATTTAACAAGACAACACAATAAATCAGATCAGATCTAAACTGAAAATCATACTCACTAAGGCACTGGCGAGTCCAAACAAAACACCAATAATAGATGACAAAAAGAACATCATGCAAAACTTTCCAATGGAATGAAGAGCTAAACTGCTGAAGTGAATATCACCAGAGTCCATCTGTTCTGCAGCACTCATTATAGTTCTTAAGAAATTACATGTTATAACTTCTACTTTTCATTAAAGTTTTTTATTATTTAATGAAACAATATTGCATTGGCAAACACTGCATTGTTTAACTTTATATCAAGTATTAAGTAGAAAAATACTTAACAATAAAAATAAGTAAAAATTAAATGCGTAATCATTTAGATTAATGTTACAATGACAAAATCTGATTGTTAAACATAAAGCTTGTAAACACAAATTTATTTTGATGAATATTAATTTATATTGATGAATATTAATTTGACATTAATTTATATTGATGATTAAATTTATAGAGATTAACAAACTTTGGATTGCTATAAATTAAGTTAGTAAATATCAACTTTGGATTGCTACAAAAAAAGTTAGTAAACATCAACTTTGGATTGCTGCAAATTAAGTTAGTAAACATCAACCTTGGATTGCTACAAATTAAGTTAGTAAACATCAACTTTGGATTGCAATACATTAAGTTAGTAAACATCAATTTGCATAAAAAATTAGCCAAATCAAAACTTGCAGATTTTACTGATTAACAATTGTAAATATAAAATTGTTTATTACAACATGACCTTGATTAGTTAGGTATTTGTTACAAGTTATCAACAAGTTTAATTTTATAAAAAATACTGTTATCTTTTTTCATTGAAAAATCTTTTAAAAAAGTTTAAAAAAAGTTAAAATCTTTACTTACAAAGTTAAAATAATAGATACTGCATCATTGAGGACACTTTCACCAAATACTATAGCATACAAATCTTGGTCAGCATTCATAGCACTAAATAATGCTAAGGTTGAAACAGGATCAGTAGCAGAGATCAAAGAACCAAATGCAAACCTAAGGCATAACTTAAGTTTAGTAAAATATTATTAAACAAAAAAATTAAATAGTAAAATTATTAAAACTAAAAAAAAAAATTAAGTACAAGATACATGTAAAATATATAAAATAGAACCATATAATGCCAGTTTTTTTTAAACTTTATTTACCAGAAACACTAAAAACTTATTATTAACAACTTGCAACAGTTAAGTTTCTTAAAATGTGAGAAACTTAACTGTTGCAAGTTATTATTAGCATTAAAAAAAATTGACTTTAAGCTATAAAAGTTACTTAAAGTTAATTTATGTATAACTTAATGTAGACTTCAAACAACTTTTATTTCATAAAATAATTTATGTATAACTTAATGTAGACTTCAAACAACTTTTATTTCATAAAATAATTTATGTATAACTTAATGTAGACTTCAAATAACTTTTATTTCATAAAATCAATTTTTTTTAAAGTTTTTCGTATTATTTTATTCAACTTTTCACAAACCAAAATCAAAATAAAAACTAAAACAAAAGTTAAAAGTTGTTAAATTTATTTAAAAACAAAACAGAAAAACTTACGCTTCCACTCCGGCTATTTCATGAACCCAACCTAACTAAAAAAATCCAAAATATAATTTATATACACATACATGTACACATATATGTAAATACATGCCCATGTACATATATATGCATATTAGGGTGTACCAAAAACATACTCTTTTTTTCTCCAGGATACCTCTCATATTTTTCCCATTCTCTGAAGTCCACTAAGGCTAAAAATCAACAAAAAAAAATTTTGTAGCCAGGATTTAATAGCTCTAAAATTTGAAAAAATTGATTTTTTCGAAAATAAATGTCTGTTACCATCAATGTTGGATTAATATGTAATGAAATTTGTTTTTATCTTTTATTTTGTTTTTAATAAAGTTAATAATGATAACTAAGTTGAATAGTGTTATTATGACTTTTTAAAAGCATATTTTGGTTTTTAGAATGGGCTCGGGTATATTTAGGCAAAAAGTATCGAGAGGCTCAGAAATATGATTAAGCTTACATAAATGCTCGCTTTCTCTTAAGTCTTTTAAAAAAGACTAACTAAACTTTCTTTGAATTTAATACATAAATATTTTTATTTTACAATAATAAAAAACAACTTCATCAAATGGTTTTCATGTATCAAGTAAACACCTTTAAGAATTTTAGTATAAATAGATTTGTGCTCAAAAACATGCGTAATTTAGAGTACAGCTCAGCAAAGGGCTTACTAGAAGTAGGTTTTTTTTTTCTTTTTGAGGACATTTCTCAAGTTTTAGCCATTCTCTGAAATTCACTGAGGCTATTAATAGCCAAAAAAACAAAATCAGTTGTCAAAAAGGGATTTTTGTAAAATTTAAAAAAATTAAATCTTTTGAAAATGAATATTGTGTTGTTGTCAATGTTATTTAATTTCTTCAGACGTTTTTTTCATTTTTTTGTTTTTTTAAACATTAATTGATGAATAGTAAGGTGAATAATATTACTATTAGTGTAATGCATGCTTTTATATGAATATTGAGTTTTTATAACAGGCTTGAGTACGCTTTTTTTGTAACAGGCTTTGAGCTTCTTAAAATATTTAAAATATTTTAAAGAGATAATTATACTTAAGCCTACAAAACTGTGTGCATTCTTTTAAGTCTTGTGGTCAAGAAAAAAATCATATATACTTATATATAAATATTTTTGTTTTGCAACGCAATAACTTCCTTAAATGGTTTTCTTGCATCAAATAAACACCAACAAAAATTTCAGTATTCTGCTAATAAACATGTCTGATTTAAACTAACAAAATGCTTATCATACCCTTAATTTTTAAACATAACTTGAGCCTTATATGTTTATAAACGTATAATTCCCTTATAAGAAAAATATGTCACAGGCTAATTTAAATCATCTTTGGTCAATTAAAAAGTTCAGTTTTTTGGCTAACACTGTTTGTCCTGTCAGAATAGACACAAATAAAGGAAAAAAGAGGAAGACATACACTAATACCAGAAAGCTACTGTTTCCTGTAAAGTATTCAATCAACCAGCTGTCATGAGCAGCTGATTGATAGAATATTTTAACCAGCTTCTTAGCACTGAAAAACCTTAGATATACAATTTTATAAATAAATACTGATGACTATTTTAAATTTCTTTATGGTTTAAAGCTAGATTCTAATGTATTGGTTTAAAACAATACATTAGTATTATTGGTTTAAAGCAATACATGTTTCACTCTTGCTAGTCAGCAAGAGTGAAACATGTTTTGCTTCTCTTTTAATGGATGTGAAGAACAAGACTCAACACATCATTCAATGATATTTACAAAACAATGACATGACAAGCTGAATGCTCCAAGAGAGTTGACCAGGCAGAGGTGATCTTAAATATACGAGAGTATTACAACATTATTGATCAGATCTTTGCTATATACTATGAATCACTGCTTCCAACACTCCAAAACTGAAGTTCTTTTTAGGAATTTTTACCATCATGGAGGTTTGCATTTCTCATTTTGTTGAGGATCTTACTGATAAGAAAATAAAATGGCACAGGAAAGCACTATATGTCATATTACATAAAAGCTGGTAACTCAGAACAAGGTGGATAAGGCAGAGCACATTAGGTTTAATTAGAATGGGTAAGAGGTTGGGTTGTTTTTAAACAAAATTAAAAGGGAGGCCCTAAAGTTCCTCAATATCCATTGACCACAGAGATATTTAACTTGGGAACTGGAAGAAGCTATGTGAACTAGTTGTTATTTAATTATTAGGATACGATTTTTATCAATCTGGAGCCTTACATTAAAAGTTAAATTATATTATCTCTCCCCCCCCCCTTAGGGGGGGGGGGGGAGAGATAGAGAGTACATTTTAGAGTTTTTAAAAAATATTATTAATATTTATATTTCATTCCTAAGTGTTAGGTAAATACTTTATACCTGCTTGCCTATAGAATGACTAAGAATGTATCTTAGGTGATGAATCAGGAAAAGAAAAAGATAAAAACTGCACATTTTAATTTATCTGAGCAGTTTCATATGGGGAAACCAAAGCTACCAGTTACGAGAAGGTCAATGGAGCTTACTGAGCTGGTAGGATAGCTGAGATTGGGTAGCAGTAACAGTATCGAAAACAGCCAAACTGATCTCGAAAAGGGAATTTCTGGAATAACATCGAAATAAAGAATAACTTCGAAATTGTAAAAAAAGGAGTTGTATCGAAAGTCCGAAAAATAATCTCAAAATGGTGCAAAAACGAATAATATCGAAAAGGGACTTTTCGAAATGATATTGAAAAAGAGAATATATTGAAATTGTTAAAAAAGAAATAGTATCAAAAATCCGAAAAGCAAAATAATCTCGAAACAGCTCAAAAGAGAAAAATATTGAAAAGAGACTTATCGGAATAATATCGAAATAAGAAATAGTATTTTGATTTTATTCCTTTTTTCACTTGTAATAGTGAAAAAAGGAATAAAATCAAAATCACATTTTCGATGATAATCATTAAAATGAGTTTTCGACCTTATTCTTTATTTATTGTTTTCAATTTTGTTCCACATTTGTGAAATTCTATATATATATTTTTCGATATTAATCAGAAAAACACATTTTTGATGTTAATCAGTTAAATAATTTTTCGATCTTGTTCTGTTTTTGTTTTTGATATTGTTCTATATTTGTGAATTTCGATATAAAAACTTTTCGATATTAATCTGAAAATCACATTTTCGATCTTAATCATTAAAATGAGTTTTGGTCAGTTATTTTTCGATACTAATCATTTTTTCAATCAGTTAATTTTCGATACTATTCCGCTTTTCCCTGAGATTCATATTGGAGAGTTGATATGGCAGATAAAGCAAAATGACTGTCAGACATTTTACATATTTAAAAAGTTTTTGAAGCTAATTGAATGTGTCAATGGCTGCCCAGAAAAGATTATCCTATTGATCCAGAACTTTGTTAGAGACTACTGATTAGGCAACACAATAAAGAACCTCACACTGGTCGCTAAAGAATAACCTCTTAAACTAGAAATAAATATTTTTCAGAGACTTTCATTTTTCACAAAAAATTGCACTTTTTTTTGAAAAATGAAATTTTACAGCAATCACCTTTACTGGAACAAAAAGTGTTTTTTTGGTAATTTTAGCCTATTTAAACCTTAGAGAATGGGAAAAAATTGAGAAGTATTTTTTTTTGGGACACCTTAATGTATATGTATATATATATATATATATATAATATATATATATATATATATATATATATATATATATATATATATCCTTATAGTGTAATCGAAAGAGACTCTTATGGTAAAAAAAAAGTCTCATTCGACTGCAATTTTTTTACCTTGTCTCTTAAGCTGCATTTTATTGTTGTCAAAATGTCAAAGCAATTAAATTAATGCGGAAGTACATTAAATTTTATTGTTTTTTAAAAAAACCCTAATAATAATGACTAGAAAGTTTTTTTTAATTAGTAGTGTTTTTGTTTTTGTTTTATTAAAAAATATTTTTAAAACATGCGTAAGTGTTGTGTTACATCGATTATCTTATCGCCTGCTGCTACAAGGGAGTGTTGCTACATCAACTATCTAATAGCCTGACTCGCAAGGGAGTGCAGCTACATTGACTGACAAATAGCCTGACTCGCAAGGGAGTGCTGCTACATCGACTGAGGGTCTGGTTTGGGCAGGCAGTCTATTATTTGTAAAATAAATTAATGCATTTCAACCAATCCAAATCCTTTCCACACTAATACTTAATTTATGACCATGGCGCAAATAACAGTCTCAACAGAATTTAACTTGAATCAACCTCATCAGAAAAAGATCTTGGAATTTTAATTTTCAATGACCTAAAGCAAAATTTACCAAACATCTTTTGCTGCAGCCAAGGCTAACAAAATGCTTTGTATCCTAAAACACAGCATCATAAGCAGAGATGCACAACTCTGGAAAAAGCTATATACAACTTATATACATCTACTTTTAGAATTTTCCATTACCGTTTAATGACCATATTTAGAAAAGGATATTTCTGTAATTGAAAGCATTCAAAAGGGTGTTACAAAAGTACCGCAAGAAATGAGGCCTTTTGATTATAAATTAAGATGTATCAAACTTGGTCTCACTTCTCTATGGAAACAAAGAAACAATAAAACCTTATTCAAAAATTTAAATTAGAAAACAAAATCAAGTTTGTTAACTGGTTTATTAATTCAATTAACATTCCCCCCAGCTATAGATTTTGCATCTTGTACAACCGTGAAACCAACAAAAACTATCAAGTTCGATATAACTTTTTTAACAACAATGTAGCAAATGCATGGAATGCCTTGCCAGACAACTTAGTAAATACTACCTCAGTAAAAAAGCTTAAAACTAATTTAGACCGGCATCTAAAACAGTTACCATAGCGCATTATTTTCTGTGGTGGCTTCAATGCTGCTTTAAGAACTAGCCTTGCTAGTTAATGATGAATGGAACAATACATGATATAATATATATATATATATATATATATATATGAAGACCACACGGGTAAAACCACAGATGTCCACTTTTTGAAAATTTCAAGTTTTATATATTTTTATGATATTTTAGTATTAACCTATTTTAATTTAAAAATTCATAACAAAAAAACTATGTTTTAAGGTTCTATGGTCATTTAAAAAAAAGGGCAACTTTGAAACAACCACTGTTGTCCAATGTTTACCGCGTAAAAAACAAGTTATTTTTAACTAAACCAATGATAATAAAAGCCACATGACTAACTTTTCGGATGAAGTAAACAACATTACGTTCACAGAAAAACATTTTAAAAAACATTTTGATTTTTTAAAGTTTTTCTGTGAACGTGAATCGAATTTTTTTTATTAAAAGAGGGGGAGGGGCGGTGGCTTTATTATCCCATCACACACTTAGTACGTTGTAGTTGTAAATTACAATGTGTTACCATCTACCTTAAAAAAAAATAAGTGCTCTAAAAGGTTACAATCTAACGTAATTTACGAGTTGATGAGTTTACAACGGAAAAACAACAGATGTCCAAAATGAGTGTCTTGTTTTCAAAAGAACATTGTGAATAAATAATACTTGTATTTAGCACAAAAACTGCGTTTTTATATTGTATCAGGACTAAAATGTCAGAAAAATGTACTTTTAATTAAATAAATTATTAATAAACAGATATCTAAAGTCACTAAACACTAAATTTCATTTTTCTCGAAATGAGAAAAATGTGACATCTGTGGTTTTATCCGTGTGGTCTTCATATATATATATATATATATATATATATATATATATATATATATATATATATATATATATATATATATATATATATATATATATATATATATATATATATATATATATACATATATATATACATATATATATATATACATATATACATATATATACATATATATATATATATATATATATATATATATATATATATATATATATATATATATATATATATATATATACATTTTTAATGTACCTGACCAAGTCCATACATTGAAAAACCAACTATTACTGTTGACACAGTTGTACCAAGTAGTGCATACGTTAATATTGCTCCAATATTACTGAAAAAATCACCCTAAAATATTAAATTTATTTAATGAGAACATTCACAGAAATATAAATAAACAAAATACGTAATAAAAAATAAAAATTTTAAAATTGCAGTAGAATAAAATCTAATGTTAATAATAAAAAAAATGTATTTTAATTAAACACTGTTAAATTTATTTTAATTAAACACTATTAATTAAAAACTAAACACTTAAAGCCTATTAATTAAAAATTAAACACTGGAATCGAATGAGGAAATGAGGAATATATTTTTGATGTCTCCTATAACATAATATTTCAAATTTCTTATATAAGCAAATTTCAATGCAAAGTTTTTCGCTTGGCATTGTTTAATAATATTTCACTTTACTGAAGAAGTAAATTTATTTTCTTTTAACATCTATATTTCTTTAGATATTTCAGCATCATTTTTAAAAAAAATTGAAATGATTCACATACTGTTATTTTGGTAAAGAGATTTTGCCTATGCAAATAAAGTCTTTTTATTTTAGTTTATTTGAGCTTCTGCTGGCTTGGTACACAAAGTTGGTACACAAAAAAGGCATTAATATATATTTTTTCACATATTTTTAGTTTCATTATGAATTTATTACAAGCATCGTGATAGATTGATAACCATTAGTGATAATTTTCATCAGCATTTAAAAATTTCTAGCGCATTTATTTTACTTGTTAAAATTATTATTAAATGTTTATTGTTTTAATAAAATATTAAAATACTCATTCATTTATTAAAATGTTCATTCATTTGTTTGAAATTAACTTTATTAAAAAAGAAAATTGTCTATTGTAACGTTTTTTTGAAACCATTAATTATAATTAAATGATGGCAATGTTCTGTGATACAGAATCTTGATATAGAAAACAGTCGTCTAAATATTTGATGAATAAACTCGCTTGGTGATTGGTTACAATTTTAGCTTTGCTATACCCTTCAGTCAAATTTATCCATCTATAATTAAAATTAGCACATAACATGTTGCCTGTACATTTACTTATCTAATACAATCAATTAACACCTTTAAAAGATTCAATAAGGGATACAATCTCATGATCAGAGCTTTTGCTTTTTCAATAGATACATCCAAAAGTACTCTTTCAATTCCAATTTCAATCAACTATTTTGGTTGATTATTTACCTTTTTTTTTTTCCAAGATAAAAAAACTGCTGTTTTAATTTATTATTTTCAGTTTCTAACTCAGAAATATGTTTTCAGATGATAGTTAATTTGGACATGTTTATTTTTATATAATTTTTTAATTAACATAAATACATACACCTCTTCCTTTAATGCGTTTGATATGAAACAAATAAAAACCTTCTATCAATAATAAGTTACATTTGTGTATAGACTTGAAATCCTTGTCTTTTTCATCTTTGACTTTTGAGCTTTTTAATGATTCAAAAATTATAATTATAATTATAATTTATTTGTTAGACAATTCATTTATTTACTTATCTTCTTTTCTTACTGCTGAGATGGAATTTAGGAAAATTCAAAAATTAGTTTTTTTATTGTAAAATTAGTTTTTTTATTGTAAAATTTTGTAGTTACTAATGAAAAAATTTTTTTTCAGTCATTTACTATTATGATTTTTTTAAATTACTTTTTTGACTTATTTTTTTATGACATTTTTTTAATCAAAAGTTTTCGTCTGGTTTTGATTCAATTTGTCTTTTGGGAATGACAATAGCAACAATTTGATTAGTTGTTGATACAAATTAGATTTGATATGTTGTTGATACAAATAAATTTTTCCCATTAACAAAGAATTTCAAACTAATTGAGAGCAATAAATATGATAAACAGCTACACAAAAATCATGATGAGTCATAAAGGAATTAGAAGTTGACAATTAGTAGCATAAATTTTAATTGAAATATGAATTATTCAATCAATTTTAAAGCTTACTCTGTTTAAATAAAATAAGTTACAAAAATGTACAAAAAAAAGCTCTATTATCTATCTATAGATAATAGAGCTTTTTTTTCTCTATTATCTATCTATAGATAACTAATACAAATAACTATTTCAGATAAATAAGAGATTGTTACATAGTTTATTTAACTATAAATGTCTTAACTTTCTGTTCATCAAATCTTACCTCTAAATAATTTCACTAAGTATTTTTGCCAGCAAATATTTGCCTGCCAGCATACCAATAAGACATGTGATCTTGCCAAGTTTTCACGTAATTCAAATCATTTAACAAAGTTTTAAAGATATTAAACAACTTTTTCTTGAACAAAGAAAGAGTCAAATCAACATTTCTTCAACATTACTTCAAAAATATATATATAAATATATATATCAGGGGCTATTCTAGACCATTTTCGACAGCGTTGACCATACTTGGGCGCCGCACAAATTAAAATTGAGGCAGCGCCAAAATATTGTTTTTTTGCAAAAAAACAGATTTTTTCGCTAAATTTCTGGGACGAAGGGATACCAACACACCAATTTTTTTCCTAGAAAGTATATATATATATATATATATATATATATATATATATATATATATATATATATATATATATATATATATACATTTTGTTTTGTCTTTAAACCTTTGATTTCAGCTTTCTCTTTTGTTTTATTTTTTAACCTTTGATTTCAGCTTTCTTTTTTCAATTTTCAAAACTATAGTTCCTTTTAAGGTTTTTACTTCAGGTTTTATATCTAAAAATACAATATATTTACCTTTTGCAGAGTGTAACCTGATTCAAATATCATCGGAGGTAAGAGTACTAAAAAGAATACATCTGGATGAAATGACTCCATGTTCTAAATATAATAAACAATTACACCTACTAAAATACAAAAAATTTTGAAACTAAAAGACATTTTTTCCAATTAAAAAGAAATGCTTTAATTAACAAATCAATGACAACAAGAAAAAAAGAAGTAAATTTATTTTGTTTGCATATTAATTTTTTTTAAATCTTCTAAAATACAATTTTCTAAAATACAAATAAAACATTTTAAAGTTTTGTTGTTCATATATAAAGATATAATATGCTTTAACAAACAAAAGGGAGAAAGTTTTTTAAAAATTTGATATTGAAATAAACATCAAAACAGCTGAGAAATTTTTTTGCGCTTATGTCACGATAGAGATACTTAAGTTATTAATGTGGTTAGGTAATTAATTAAGACTACGCATTCAAAACACATCAAAGAGAAATCTTTTTTTTATAGGAAAAAAGATTTATTTCATTCATTCCTTTCATACATTCAAACTTTCTTAATTTTCTTCAAAATTAAAAAACAGGGGAAAGTTTCTAATAAGCTCCTGATGGAGCTTATTAGAATTACAATAGACTAAATCAAAACTCTTCTAATGAAAATATTTTTAACTCTTCCAAACATGTGTATTTAAAAACTTCAAGCTAAAATTTGATAAAAAAATTGCAAAATATCTAAATAGAAATAGAAATATAATTTGTTCCACAAAAATGTTTCAATAAATATTGTTAAAGCGTTTTTAAAATTAGTAGATAACATTTCCTTAGAGAGTAATAAGTCCCTCCCTCTTGCACAAAATTTTTAACAGAAACATTATCAAAGTAAGCTATAGCTGTACAAAAAATATTGAAAGAATTATAAAAGGCCACAATTTTGCATTGATTAATAAAAATGAATTTTTTAAAGAAAAAAATACTGAAAATTGTAATTGCAAGCAAAAAATTGACTGCCCTATGAATGGCAAATGCTTATTAAAAAATATTATTTGCAAATGCATTATTCCATTCAAAAAACCCTGATAAACAATGTCTTAGCTTAACTGAAGGCGAATAGAAAAAACTTTATGTCAACCACAGGCTTGGTCGGGAAGCGGGTGCGATTGCACTTGATAACTGACCACGGAAATAATATTTAGTTACGAAAAACCGGCCAGATATTTTAGTCGTTTTGATAACATTTAAATTTATGTATACTTCCTTAATTAATTTCATTATTTTAAAGTAAATTTTTAAATATTTTGTTTACGGACATACATGAAAACCAACATAAACTCAAATGTTCTCAAACAATCTTTGTGCAGAAAAGTAAAAAAAAAACACAAAAAACCCGCCAAATCTACGAACAACTAATTCTATTGGTTCAAAAAATACTAACCAAAATTTCTAATAATAAATTTTTAATAATCATCAAAGTTAATACAAATAATTTTAACCACTAACTCATTTTCCTCAGTGTACCCGATAACTGATTCTTTCCCTGAAGAAAGAAAAGTTCTTAGAAATCGGTTTACTAACTTCAATTATTTTTGCTTCAGCCATTCTTCAAACTTGTTAAACTTAAACTTAAAGTTACTTTTTTCTGTTTTAAATTCTAATTAAAATTATAAAGCCCACTCACTAAACATCATCAGCGTTATTATGAAGCAGTTCCCTTCCTCCTCACATAGTAATTTAACGTTTTTAGTTAATTTCTATTTAGCTAATTGAATTTCTACATTAACTCAATGATTTAATTATTTCATTTGTTTATCTTACTAAGAAAAATTATTTTAAATGTGTTAAACTTTTCAAACTACACGAAGCAGAAAACAGTTATTGAAAAAACTTTTTTATTAATAAATAAATCACCTAGCGTTAGTTTTATTGGTTGAAATTTGTTGGACTTTTCAGGGCCGGGGACTGCATTATTTTGGCGGCCTTTTTAATGTGCCACAGCGTAAAAATGACTGAAAAAAATACCGAATAGTCCTCTTGACTATTTCACAGCCCCTAACATTGTGAGTCCTGAGGCTATAGCCCTTCTCCTCCCCCTCCCTATCTCCTTAATCCAGCACTGGAAATAAGACATAAGTATATAAATGAAAATTATATATACTCTTTCATAAATCAGAGAACATTTGTTTCTTTATTAAACAATCATTAATAGTAAGTTGTTACTTTATATAAAATATGTCACTTAATTTTATTAAAAAAAAATTAAAAAAGAGTGACGTTTCAAAAATATTTGCTCTAATTGTATTTATTTTGCTTAAATTTTTTCGCGTTAAAAGCTATTTTTCTTTTTTTAACTGTCTCTTATTGGTCCAGTTAATCTTTTTGCACTTTTTTGTTTGTTTTTGAAATGATCTCAAAACAACTAAAAAATCTGGCCGGTTCTTTGCAACTAAATATTATTTCCGTGGTCAATTATTGAGCGCGATCGCACCCGCTTCCCAACCAAGCCTGCAACCACAAACAATCTTTTAAACATAAAAAATATTCAAATGAGACAATGCTAGCAAAGTATATTTGACAACTAAAAAAAAAGAGTATTAATTTAAATTAAACTGGACTGTTCTTAAAACTGTGCCTGCCAATAATAGCATTTCTAGAAAATGTATACTAGGTTTACAAGAAAAATTTGAAATCATTACTCATTTAAATCAAGAAAATTTACTAAACAAAAAACCTGAATTAATTTCTAAATGCAGACGTGAAATTAAGTACCTTTTAAAAAATTATAAAATCAAATGACCAGACTAAAATTATCCTAAGTTTTTAATTTATTTAATCAATATTGCTGATGATTTTATTATTATTATTATTGTTTTTGACATCAAAAAAGTTTGATTTTTTTAATAATAAAAAAATATATATATAAATTTTTATTTCTATGAGAAATTAAACAGATGTAACATTAATTGAAAATTTACCTTCCATTTTGTGACATCAACACCAACATTTGCCAGGACAAAATTTATAATAACAGCAATAACTACACCTAATAACATCATAAATTCAAAGTTTTATATTTCAATCTATCCTACAATTTATTGCATGCAACTATATTCAAATAATTGACAGGGTTGCCACTTCCCTGATTTAATCTTTTAAATAAAAAACAAAAATCCTAATTTTGAATTAGAAATTATATTTAAAAACATAAAATCCTTACAGGTGGCAACCCTAACAGTTGATCAAAACCATTTAAAGCATTATAAATGTGTTTTTACCAAATACCATAACCACAAGTGCTTCTGGTATGAAATGAAGTTTTTTGTTAAGCAAAAAGGTAATGGCTATCACAGATATCACTAAAAAAAATGTAATAATATTTTACATTTTCGAAAAAATAAATGAAAAAATAATTTATATATAAAATTAATTTGTAATTTTGAAAGATAAAATTGATTAATAAAAATTTTGTTTTGCTCCATTTTATTTGTATACAATAAAATACAAACAAATAAAAAATGTCTTTTTCATCAGAAAAATAAAAAAAATTAAATAAGTAAGAAAAAGTAAATAAGAAAATAAAAAAGAATAAGATGGATTAGAGATGTGCTCCACAAAAATGTTAATGAAAAAAACAATCTGACTGAAGTAATCTGTAAAGCCTGGGATACTTATGCACATACACTGCATCTGCAAACTAGAATAAACGGAACATTCTGGCTGCTTCTTTTAAGCTTGCCCGCAACTTACAAGAACAACTTGGATTCGTCCTCCCTTGGTAAAAAGTTAATGCAATTTAAAGAGTTTTTGAAGGTGAAAATAAATTGTCTTCTTGATTAATAAACAAATGGAAAAGAGCAAGGAAAATTTCATGAACTCACTTATACATAAGAAAGATGGGTAGGATGAGTTCCCAGATGGAAAGCCCAAATGGAACTATTTGTATATCAATATGTGTCGTAAATGTCATAATGTCAAAAATATATCCTATATAAATGTCATAATAATATCCTGTATAAATATCTAAAAGGGAACTATACTAAATTTTAATAATGTCTAAAGGAAGTATTTTTTACAAAAATATTACAAAAACAAAACAAAAAATTAAATTTTTAAACATATAGTGGAACAAATAGCAAAGAGTATATTTACTAGCCGAAGTTTTATGAGTTAAAAAAACTTTGCCAGTGCTTACTGCTGAGGTCTTATTGAAAATATGTTTTTTTAACTTGCGGTTAGACTTCTTATAAGATCTTTTTCTTTAGTTATACAACTTTCCTTTTGTGTTTATTTCAACAGAATTGAAGAAAAATCTAGTAAGATACATATGTGTGATGTGCACTAAAAACTCTAGTGTGGAAATGGAACAATTTGTTGTTTGACATGTAAAAAGTGGGTTCACATAACATGTTTTGAGTGAATGAGGAACTTTTACATCTATGAAAAGCCCAAAAATGAATTTTTTTTGAGCCAAACTTGTTGTCATCTTGGAGATGCATTTGATTGGAAAAAAAGTCTTACAAGAAATGCTACAATGGTATTTTGTAATTGGACCACCTGCTCAAATACCAAATGTGTCTAGTTCAAAACTGGTGTTATCTTTATGTTTGCATATAATTTAGTTTATTTTTTTAACAATGCACTTGACATGAGATCTGGTAAAAAAGATAGTTACAGCCAGAGAACACTATCCAGCTCAAGTATGATCTACTACTGCTAGTGTGTTAGGCATACTTACACCATAGGCTACCCATCTTGCAATATTTAATATCTTACATATTATAAAGATTATGTCTAGACATAAAAAAGATTATGTATACTTTACTTTAAAAAAAGATTTGGAATACTGCTAAAAATAGTAAATCCTTACACAATAACCACTAATTAAAATTACTCACATAATAAAAGAAGTACAAGAAAAAATGTTAAAGCTTGTTCTTCAAGCAATTTTCCAACTGGGTCAAACTTTACTAGTGCTGATGTATTTTTCAAGTTTTCACTTTTATTCACATTTATCATTTTTAAGATTCTTTTAAAAAAAAACAATTTAAAATTTTCTTTATTCACATAAAAATATAAGGTAAGATATTTTTTATTAAAAATAAAAATAACAGCAATATTAAAATGAAACAACTAAAACAAAAAATATTTTAACAATTATTACTGGAAAAACAACAATAACAAAAACAACAACAACAATAAAATAATGACTAAACCTGTAAACACACACACACACACACACACACACACACACACACACACACACACACACACACACACACACACACACACACAAAGTTAAATTTAAAATGTTAATTTTTAAAATGTCAAAGTTTAAATTTATGCGACATACAAACAAGTAAATTTTATTGTAAAAAAAAGTTTGAATTCAAAAAAAAGTTTTCATATAATAAACGTAAACAAATGCTTTAAAGAGATTTTCTCTAGTTGGGGGAAAACCAATATACACTAATCGGGATTAATTGAATATAATCGGTAAGTTTTAACTTAGTCGGTGTCTAAACAGTGTTGATACATTAAAAATCTTGTGCTTAAAATAAATGGATTATCCTATTTATTTTTTTTTAACAATTAATTTTCAACAGAGCGTTAGAAATTATTAAATGGAACGTGTCTAAGAATGCAATATACTTTGTTTATCGTTCACAGTTTCATAGTTGCATATTAAGTTGCATATTTAGTTGAGATTTTGTAGGGAAATTATGAAAAAATAATAAAAGTTAAAAGATAATAAAAATTAAAGTTATTCTCCGCCTAATTTTCTCCTAATCTTTACTAATAGTAAATAGTAGTATTTATTGCTTATTTAAAAATTACAATTTTTTTTTAAATATAATAAAGTATTTAAAAATAAAATAAATTATGGGACAATGATGCAAGCATCGCTTTATAGACAGCCCACCCAATTTATAACATAAGTTATCAAATATATTTATCTATTCGCGCTTCAAATATGGTCTCGATAAACACGATGGTTCGTATTCTCTTTCACTTAACTTTTTTAAAAAATACGTAGAAAAAATACGATTATAACTAATGTCAGTCAATTAACATAAGTAATAATCGTTTAGTTTATTAACCTCTATAGTTACGCGAAAATAAAACAACATTTCTTAACTGCTTACTTTCTGATATTGGCAAACTCATTTTTGCTCTTATAACGTAACTCCTCCAATCATTCATTTACGCTGAGTCTTATATCAAATAAATTGTTTTAATTCAAGTTTTTAACTTTATTTATATCATTTATTACAATTCCTTATTTATTTTGGAACCAACTTTTTCTATTATTTAAAAAAGTTATTTACCAGCAACCGTGAGTGGCGCCCTATTTTTCAATATTTCCCTATATTGCTAGCTAGCAATATAGGGAAATATTGAAAAATAGGGCGCCACTCACTCATAAAAAAAAATTGCCTAAAAAAAAAGGTCCTTCACTAGTGAAGGACCTTTTTTTTTAGGCAATTTTTTTTTATTCGGCGCCCTTTAAACATCAAACTGTCTCTCCTTGCTCTCTTCTCCCTGTCGGGGTCCCTGATCTTACAGCCGTGCCCTTTAAATAAATAAATAAGAAAGATCTTCATAAAATTACAAAACACTTTATACGTTGTATTAAAATATTAGCATTTATAACAAGCCCAAAATATAATACAATGTCACATGCCATCATTTGAAAGATTTAAATTTAATTATAAAAGATAAATAATATTGCTGTCACAGTTTTATCTTATTATTAGTACTCTTCCGTTACATAATTGTAGAACTTTCAACACACTGATTTTTGTAAGGTGAAAATGATCAAAATTTTATATGAATAAAAAATAGTACAATATGTAAAAATTGGGTATAAAAATAGAGTAATAGGTGAATACTATTACCAAAAGTTTTACTTAGTTACATTTGTGTTGTACCAAGCAACAATTGCATAATTTAAATACCAAAAAAAAAAAGAAAAGTGTGTACATTTCAAAGAGGTTTGTTTTAATACCTGTTAGGCTTTGTATAGGAGACCTAAACTTTATGAAATTTTATTTTGGCAGTACTTAACTGCTCTCTCCACGTAATATTTTTGTCTAGAACCACTATATCTAAAAACAACAACAAAAACATTTAATATAATTTTAATTTATGAAAAGATTAAAGAAAACTCTCTTTGATATAAGTCCAATTTAAAAAAAAGTTTTAAAGAAATGTCCTATTTTTTGTTAAGGCAATGAGAATAAGTAACAGGTCTCTATTTTTTTGTTTTAAATTTTTTTTTTTTTTTTTTGTTAAAATAAATAAGTACAGTTAACTGTGTCACATGTTTGACCCATATACTTTATATTTATGAAACCTGGTTTTGAGTTATAAAATTTCAAAACTTAAAACAAAAATGATCAAGTCACAGTTAAGCTTAAGCAAAACTACTTTATTGTGACAAGTACTTGACCGATATTCTTTACAAAGCTGTTATTTAACATTCGAAGTACTAAAAAACAAGTTTTTAAACATATAAGATTTCTCTGTCTTTTGATAAACTTTACAATAGAAAATATTTATCAATGTTACAAAACACAAGTAGTTTGTCAATATACTGAAAAACCACTTGTGTCTTGTAACATGAATAAATATAACTTTTGAAGCCGTTTAAATGTTTATATTATTGTTTAGGAAATGGTCTTCGCTTAAACAGCGTGTTTGCAAATTCATCTTATTGGCATACGCTTAAAGAAAATAATAAAATATAACATACACCATACATCCTCTTCGCATAAATTATCTTAGGGATCGTCCATAATTACGCAACGTTAAATTTATGTAAAAAGTAGAAGTTGCTATTTTTAGCAATTTTCATTAAAGTTAAGACACTTTTTCATTTATGGCTATTAAAGATTATGCAAGAAAAAACTTGTGATTATTTAGGTTTTTTTTATTAAATCAATTTAGCGTTGCGTGGCGTACGATTCTTTATTACACCTAAATATTCACTTTATTACACCTACTTTATTTATACTATACCCATATTACACTCAAATTAATAGGGAGACGCACCTAAATTAAATGGCGCTATGCTACTGATTAAAGTGGGATGGACTAAAGCTATTAATCTACCTAAAAAAATTTTAAAAAAGGTGTAAAAATTGACGTTTGCATCAAAGTTTAACAATTTGTATAACTATTATGTTGCTAAGAAATGTAAAATCTTTTCCAGATTTTTTTTTCGCTTTATTTATAATTTTTGCAAATGGTTCAAACATTAACGTATTATTTATTTATATCTAAATATTTTTGAAAAATTGCTTTAACTCATAAATTATAAAAATAATATACAATTTGATTATGTTTTCACTTAGGTACGATAAAAGCTGTTTTACTAACCACAGTATTTGTTGCGTGCATGACACTCTATACTAAAGGCCTATTCATTGCGCAGTCGTAAGCCGTGACTGGGGGCCTATTTTAATATTCTAAAAATTGCAAAGATGAAAAGCTCACATTGAAAAACTTGCCAGAGAATTTTTAACTTCTTCAAATTAATCTTGTTTATTCTTTTACATTTTCAATAACTTTGAATCAATAATGTTTTTTAAATTATAAATTTTTGTAAATAATTAAATGTATTTAATTTGAATTTTCATGCTATATTTTTCTATACAATGTTCTTTTATCCGAAGATATTATTGGCTTAGCATAGCAGGGCTATGAAGTTGAAATCAGAGTTTTGGAGTTGCAACATTTTTAGCGGAGTCAGAGTCGCTAAACAAAATTGCGACTCCGACTCCAATAGTAAAACTTTTCGGTATTGCACGTGCATGTACAAAACATTCAATCAACCTTATGTTTATACTAAACCTCAAAGATTGTTTCATAAATATATATATACATACATATATATATATATATATATATATATATATATATATATATATATATATATATATATATATATATATATATATATATATATATATATATATATATATATGTATATATATATATATATATATATATATATTTATATATATAATTATATATATATATGTATATATATATATATATATATATATATATATATATATATATATATATATATGTATATATATATATATATATATATATATATATATACATATATATATATATTTATATATATATATATATATATATATATATATATGTATATATATATATATATATATACATATATATATATATATATATATATATATATATATATATATATATATATATATATATATGTATATATATATATATATGTATATATATTTATATATATTTATATATATATATATATACATATATATATAAATATATATATATATATATATATATATATACATATATATATATATACATATATATATATATACATATATATATATATATATATATATATATATATATATACATATATATATATATATATATATATATATATATATATATATATATATATATATATATATATATATATATATATATATATATATACACACACATATACATTCATTATGACTGGGTAATAATCTATTATATTTGACAAAAAAAGTGTTTGAAAATCTTATGTTATGGTTATATTTTTATATTCTTTTAAATAATTATACTTTATAGATGCCAAAAAAGTGTTGTGTATATGGCTGCAAAACTAATTATCAAACTACCAAAAACAATAAAAGCTTTGAAAAAATACCAGTTTATAATTTTCCTAAAGTTAAAGAACAGAGAATTATTTGGATAAAAAGTATTCAAAATTCTAATCTTTTAGTTTCAGATGAAATTGTTGTTTGCCAATTACATTGGCCAGCAGTTTTTGAAAAAGCTACTGTTCAAGAAAAACAAAGACCGAAAATGCCGCCATCTGTATAGTCAGGAATACTATCAAGTCAAATACCTACTCCATTACCACGTCATCGCACAACGCATAAATCTTTAAGTATTGCTAGAAATGTTAGAGCTGATGAACTTAGCACTTTTTTTTTGGCTGATACAGCAACATATATTGATTTCAAAAA